GAAGATGTGACAGCTACGTGAGAACTTTAATGAACAGAAGAAATCAGCCATGCACAGGAGAGAGTTTCCAACGGGGGCTGGAGTGAGTTTGTTGGTGTGTTTGAAGGAGGAGGAATGTAAGCATGGCTGAAGCAGAGTAGACAAGGAGGAACATTTAATTGATGATCTTGGTGAGAGAGGAAGGAGCCAAGTCACGTAGGGCCTTGAGGTCTGCATAAGGACTCTGGACTTTGCCAATAATGAAATTAATTATAGAACCACCCTCTTTAGAGGCAAGTACACAATTATTGCTCATCTTAGGGCAACATTGTCCTTTCTGTTCATGTCCTGCGTGCAAGACCATGGAGGAAAATCCGAGTTAATGTATCAGAAGAGAGACATTTCTCTGCTCTGGAGTGAGCGTGCAGCATTTCCAACCCCATCCACACATCCCCAGGGGAATAGTTTACATTTAGGTAAAATTAATAGTAGGCATTGGGCTTGAGCGACAGGGCCCTCCTGCTCTTGCCAGAGCACTTTTTCTCTTTGCAGCGGTGGTTAAGGGTATCCTGAGGCTTCCTGGGGTGCAGAGGCTTAATGCAAGAGGACAGCAGACCCCCCAGCAGAGTGGAAGCAGCTCTTCCTCACGTTTATGTTCACATGGAAATATGAATCTGTTCACACACAGGATGTTCTTGGAAATGCTTTGCCATAGGGCTTATAAAAGACAGGCTCAGGAAAACATAATGTTTGGGAATTTATAGTATTTGCTAGATTATTTATGCTTACCCTAACTGCACTCGAGAGCTTGGGTAGAAAGCCCTGCAAAGATTATTGCATTCACCTATATAGCTTTTGTTTCTAGATGTGATTTTGCAGATTTTATTTTTTTCCTTCCTTACTGGAGTTCATCCACTCGGACTGCTCATTCATCATCTGAGGTTGATATCCTGTGCTCTCCCTGTTCAGATTGAAGAGGCTCTGGAAGTGATTAGACTGTAGTAAATCAGCTTTTATGATTTTTACATCAGAGCTAAGCAACAAGGAAAGCAGGAGTTGGAGAAACCAACTCCTCTTGCCCTGACAATTATCCCGGTAATGAAATTAAAAAAAAAAAAAAATACTAGAGAGTACTACAAGTGCATTTTGCAGAATAATTTCTCCATAGGCATATCCAACGTTAAAATTAGCTATTTAACAAACATTTGTTTTATTTTTACACCATTTTATTGAGGTTTGATTTACATAAAGTAAAGCAAACAAATATTAAATCTGCACCTCAGTGAGTTTTTACATGCGTATATTCTTTTATAACCACCTCCCAGATCTAGCTATAGAACAATTTCAGTGCCCTAGAAGCTTCTCTCATGCCCCCTCTCACTAACCTGACCTCTGTCACCATAGCCTTAGCCTGTTCTTGAACTTCCAATAAATGGAATCACAAATACATACCCTTTTTGTGTCTCTTAGCATTTTCTGTGAGATCTCTCCATGTTATTGGGTAATTCATTATTATTGTGTTGTCTTCCATTATATCAGAGTTTCTCAACTGTGGCACTGTTGACATTTGGACTGGATAATTCTGGGGGCGGGGTGGTGGGTTGGCCTGTGCATTGTAGGATGTCTAGCAGTATCTCTGGCCTCTACCTACTAGATGCCAGTAATGCCCCTCCCCTTCAAGTGTGATAACCAAAAATGTCTCCAGATATTTCTAAATTTCCCCTAGAATTGAAAATCATTGTTTCACATGGATACACTGCAATTTTAAAGAAACTTTTTATTTGGAAATCATTTCAAACTTACTGAAAATATGTAAAAGTGGAACAAACAACACATGTAATATATTATGTAGATTCACCTGTTGCTAATGTTTTGCCCTATTTCTTTTCCTGTGTACATATACACATGTGCACATGCACACAATTTATTTCTCAACCATTTGAGAGCAAGTTGCTTTCATCTTGGCCATTTATCACCATATATGTCCATATGTATTTCCCAGGAGTAAGGATCTTCTCCAACATTATTACAATCCTCAATTAACCACAGTAAACTCAGGATAATACTTTTATCCATTGCCCATGTTCCAATTTTTTTTTCAGTTGACCAAAAATTATCTTTTATAGCCTTTATTTTTCCCACAGAGCAGGTACCAGTCCAGGATCAGGTATTGTATGTAGCTGTCATGTTTCCTTAGTACCCTTTATTCTAGAACATTCCCTCACCCTTTTTGTTTTGTTTTGTTTTGTTTTGTTATAATACCAAGTTTTTTTTTTAAGACTCCGGTCCCTTTTTTTTACCTTAATAGAATGTTCCTCCTTTTGGGATTTGTGTAATGTTTCTTCCTGTATACATTTAGAATGTGCATTCTCAGCAGGAATAGTACAGAAGTGACAGTGTGTCCTTCTTAGGACATCCTACCTGGAGGCATACAATGTCCTCGTTGGTGATGTTAAGTTTGATCTCCAGGTCAAGGTGTTGTCTGATTTCACTATAGTATAGCTACTAATTCTTCCCTTACAACTAATAAGCAACATGTAGGGAAACACTTTAAGATTCTGCTCTATCGGGCCGGCCCGGTGGCGCACTGCTACAGTGCGCTGCTTGGAAGCGCGGTGGCGCTCCCACCGAGGGTTCGGATCCCATATACAGACCGGTTCCCGCTCACTGGCTGAGCGAGGTGCGGGTGCGACACGGAGGGTTGCGATCCCATTGCCGGTCCCGGTCCAGGTCCAGTACGGGCGCGACACTGAGGGTTGCAATCCGTTGCCGGACACGAAAAAAAAAAAAAAAAAAAAAAAAAAAAAAGATTCTGCTCTATCATCAGTTTTTACCTCCTAAATTTAGCATACTTTTTGATTCTTGCATGAAGCACTCTTTACCTCCAATGGTTGCAAAATGATTTTCCAGATGCAGCCGTCCCTTCCTCCACATGCACCCACTCTGCTGACAGCAGTTGGCATTCTACTGTACACAGAGCCATCTCTCTCCCCTCATTTATTTTTTTATTCACGTTTCTCTCTGTTATCAGTATGGACTTATGAATTCCTAGTTGTTTCAACAGTTTACAAATCATTACTACCTTAAATATTTTAATGCTCAAGCTGTTTGGATTTGGCTAGTGAGAGCCCCTGTGTTCTTCTTTTGACAAACCCCCATCACATTTTATTTTTAGTAATTCCCTACTTTCTGGCATCACAACATGTTCCAGATTCATCTTTTACTTTTCTTTCCTCTATCCTGGATTGGCCATTTCTACAAAGAGCCCTAGTTCCTTTTAGCGGGGAATGGTAGAAAATAGCACCATTTATTTATCTATTTTTTCAGTTAATTGACATTTGAGTTGTTTCCAGTTCTGGGCTATTATAAGAGAAGAAAGCTTCTCTGAATACCCCTGTACATTTTTTGGACCTACTTACTAATTTCTATTGAGTACATATCAAGAGCAGTGGTGGAAAATTATAGAATCTCCACTCTTGGTTATATGCGCGACAGAAACGAGTGCATACGTCCACAAAAAATGGACAAGGATATTCAAAGCAGCTTTTATCATAATTCATGTATGTGTATACGAGAGTACTTCAAAAAGCCCGTGCAAACACGAACACCTTGAGAGATCAGAACTATAGTTACTAGAGGTGGGAAAGGGGGAAGGGAAGAGGGGTTATCAAGAAATTGGTTAATGGACACAATGATTTCATTTTTGTAATGATGAATATGCTAATTATCCTGATTTGATCATCACACGTTGTACACAGGTATTGATATCCACCTCTGTACCCACAAGTATGTATAATCAACTATGTTTCAATAATAATAAAAAGTTTGTGCAAAAATAGAATTAAAGGATAATACGAATCTTTCCATGAACCTCTCCAGTACCTTCGAATGTATGTATATGTAGTGTTAGTAGATATTGCCAAGTAGGTTTTCAAAGTGCTTGTAACATTGCTTTAGTTTTAACAGGGGAGAGAAAGTCATAGGCCCTGGTAGGAGGCAAGAATAACCAGTGGCGTGGGTGATAATGGGCCATTACAGTCCAAAGGTGTGTTGTCTGTGATCAGAAACGGCAAAATTGCTGAGTCTTTCAATGTACAATGAGTGGAAAATGCTAAGACTTTGCCACCTGGCCCATTCTGAAGTATCTCCAAAGAGAGGGCTGCTTTAAGATGAGCAAAATAATGTCAATATCTCCTACTATGTTCAAAATGGTTTTTATCTCAGGGATGCCAGGGTTCAGTTGACAGCCCTTAGGAAATGGAGATCCATTGCTAGGGGCACCTGCTGTTAAAGAGCATTAGAGTCACTGCTTTATTTTAAAAAGTACCTCCCCAGAGGATGGAAGGTGGGTTCCTGGCTGCTAGGGACCGATTTAGTGAGTGACCGAAGCAGTCACTCACTAAACAGGCTGAAAGAGTAAATATCCCTCCTAGGAAGTCATTTAGTGTCCAAGACATCTGAGATAGAGGGCTATCTGCCACTTAGGGACAGCAGGCAGAGCAGGATACTGCTGCAATCTAACAGAGAAGTGAACTGATCCAGTATCACAGAACTAGTGTGCAGTGTCGCCAGGAACTGATTGGGCATGACCCAGCCTCCATAGCTGAAAGTTCTCTCATCTAAAATATCTGTCCTACAGAGCTTATAGTGTATCATTAGAATCAAAGAGGTACCTGAAGTGCTTTGAGAAGTGAAATTCTAAACAGAGGAAACAACGTGCATGAGATACACCTTGGGCTCTTAGTAACTTTGACAAACCTTTGGAGGAATTAGTAACTAGTAAAATACATCCCCGTGGATGCATTTATAAACAAGTGCACCCACCCTCTAGGTGGACACTGCCCTGCTGTGGAGGGGGGAGAGACCTCTCACACACGCATGCCCTCTGAGAGAACCTTTGTGCGGTGCATAACTGCACAACTGCATGCAACGACCGTGGATGGATGACCAGCAGTGATAGTGACCCGCCATTGCTGCACATTTGTGTTAACCTCTGGGGTCCTCTCCTCTCTTTCCCCCAGGCCTCTCTGCTGATGGTGGTGCCAAGCGCCAGGAGCACCTCTCCCGATTTTCCATGCCCGACCTCAGCAAAGACTCTGGAATGAACGTCTCTGAGAAGCTGAGCAACATGGGCACTCTTAACTCGTCCATGCAGTTCCGCAGCGCAGAGTCGGTTCGCAGCCTGCTCTCTGCCCAGCAGTACCAGGAGATGGAGGGAAACCTCCACCAGCTGAGCAACCCCATTGGGTACAGAGACCTGCAGTCGCACGGAAGGATGCATCAGAGCTTTGATTTTGACGGGGGGATGGCAGGCAGCCAGCTGCCGGGGCAGGAGGGCGTGCGGATCCAGCCCATGAGCGAGCGCACGCGGAGAAGAACGCCCCCGCGCGACGACGGCCGCCGCTTCCGACCTCACCGCTCCCGGCGCTCCCGGCGCTCCCGCTCGGACAACGCCCTCCACCTGGCCAGCGAACGCGAGGCCATCTCGCGGTTAAAAGAGAGGCCCCCGCTGAGAGCCCGGGAGGACTATGACCAGTTCATGCGCCAGCGGAGCTTCCAGGAGAGCCTGGGCCAGGGGTCCCGCAGGGACCTGTACGGCCAGTGCCCTAGGACTGTGTCGGACCTGGCTTTGCAGAATGCCTTTGGAGAGCGATGGGGACCCTACTTCACCGAGTATGATTGGTGTTCCACCTGCTCGTCCTCTTCGGAGTCCGACAACGAGGGCTATTTCCTAGGAGAACCCATCCCCCAGCCGGCCCGCCTGAGATATGTCACAAGCGACGAGCTGCTGCACAAATACAGCTCTTATGGCATCCCCAAATCCTCCACGTTAGGTGGCAGGGGACAGTTGCACAGCAGGAAAAGACAAAAGAGCAAAAACTGTATCATTTCTTAATATGATTGGGGTCAGGGAATGGGGGAAGATGGAAACTAAGAATGTACATTCAGAAACTTGCACTGTTTTCAATTGTAAAGCGCTTTGGGGGGTGGTTGATGGGGGAGAAAAGGGAAAATGCTCTCAGCTGATGGAAGCAAGATTGCAGATGGGCTCAATAGGTAGTCACAGTTTTTGGCATGTTGAATATTATTTGCACATTTCACTTTGGAAACACAGTAGACTCTGTCGAGGCCAGGGTTGGTCACCTCCTTCCCGAGAGTTGTGTGTTAAGTTGCCATTCACAAGGTGGCAGATTGTTTCCTGCTCGCTTATATCCTCTCTGGCTCTCTTACTTTTAGGACCCTTTTTCCAGTAAGGAATTTGTTTATTAGCCAGGACTCAAAATTAAGTTATTTACATGTCCATTGTAAATGCGATGTAAATGAAAGTTCTGATAAAATATTTTTGTATTTTGTAATATCAAAGGAATTTCTATATCGTAGGACACAGTGGGGATGTGCATGTATACCCAGCATTGTCTTTGAGTAGTATTAAAAGGTGGCTCAGGACCACCTTTTTTTTTTTTTTTTCCCTATACAAATTTGTTACATGTCAGTGAGAACTTTTTTCCAAAAAGTATATTCAATTTGGCTTTTTGTGGCTGAAAAAAAAATTACTATTATACCCAAAGCATTTTGTGCTCCATTCCGTCTTAAGGAGCCATCCTTAAGTCGACTCCTACCCTCAGTAGAATTTATTTTCTACAAAGTGATAGTAATGTCTTTTAAAATTGCAAATGTAACTTTTGCCAATTAGAGAAACCAGCCAGTGTCAGTAAAGTTCCGTGAGAAATGCCATCCCTGCTGGGAACATTGAAGTTGCTTAATATTAATCTATCCCTTGGGGAAAATAAAAGTGACTGTGACTGGTGCCGTTGTGTGATGTCAGCATGACGTTGTTTTGAATGTGACATTATTTTCTGGTGCTCATGTTTCCTGGATTGTATTATCTGCTTTCCTTTATCACGGCAGACGGAACTGCTGCCTTAGTCTGACAACCGGTTGTCCTCAAAGCAAATGAACTTCAGCATTTGGAACTGAGGGATAGAAAGGTTCAGAGGGGGCCCTGGGAGTGATGGTGTGTTGCATGGAGAAGGAACAAGGTGATCTGAAAACAGAAAGCAGGTCAAGGGTAGAAGTTCAAGGGAATATAAAGGAAGGTCAAGGAAAAGAACTTCTAGAAATTAAATAGAGGAGAGGTGACAACCACCTTGAAGAGCCCCCAGTGCACATAGAAAGAATCCAGTTTAACAACCTCAGTAACCAGAATATTTGGATTACCCGGGAAGGTTGAGCTGCTAAGAGGTGTCAGTATAATGACTTTGAAAAACAGGCTTTGTAGAAAAGGGGATTTCTATTTTGAACTTTGAGGACTGTTAGACCGAAAATGAGCTCAAAAGTGAGTTTGCTTAAAGAAGACATTTAACGGTTGTGCTGTTTATAGTAAGATAAAACTTTCTACCTTGCTTCAGTTAAAAATGAAGCACTTGCTTTTTCTTTCATTTTCCTCCTGCCCTTAGTGGATTGTGGCGGTCGAAATAATCCATGGGAGGACCCACCTTTAGTGAGGTGTACTGTCGATGTAGTACATGGTGTGTCTCAGTGGCCATCTGCCATGGTGAGGTGAGCGTGGTCTCTTTTCAGTATAGTAGTTAACATTTTCTAGTATTTTTTATAGAGGGAATGTGAAAAGTGGCTTTTCAGACACCATCCCAAATGGGTCTGGGGAAAGGAAGGTTGTAAAGGACATGGTAATGGCACTTCATTCAGGATGTATTAAAGTATTTGCTTTTCAGGTATTAATATGACATTTGTCATTGTCACTGATTTTTTAAAAAGCAATGCAAATGTTGGTTGTGGCTGTTTTCCGCATGCTATCTTCATATCTAAATGCTTCACTAATTATCTGAGCCTCCAGAGAATTAACTCTATTACGTTTGTATAGTAAGTTTGTAAACTGCTTGGCAAACTGATTAAGAAATAATGTACAACACCACACTGCTAAAGTGGCAGGTTTCTGGTAGAAATGGGCGAGTCCAATTTGGAATTTTGAGTTCCTCGATCGATGTGAATAAAAAGGAATAAAAAGGCATTTTTAAAAAAAGAAAAGAAAGGGGAAAAGTAGATCACTTAACTTAGCAAACGGTTGAAAATATGTCTGTCCTCTGTGGCCTCACATCCAATGAAAGAAATTCTCTCAATAAAAGTTGCTCTCTAACTTTGTCCTTCTCAGAATACCTCTTACATTTCTCAAATAAGGCTTTACCCACCATCAGCAGAAAGAAGGTGGCCTAGAAACTGACACATAACCGGTACCCAAAGGGGTCTGGAGCCAGAAATAATTTCAGGTCTAGCTCCCCAGAGAGCATCCGGGGACTGAACTGTTCCTCAGAGTCAGACTCTCTACTAGCAAAATCACTTCCATCTGTTCCACCACTGCAGATTTCCTCTCCCCACCCCAAACACAGCCAGGCCCCGTACAGAGATGCCAATGGAGGAAGGCCACTTCCTCACAATGACGGCAGAACTTCCAAGCAAATGCCCTAGCCAGGGCAGCACGCCATTGCATTGGGAGTTCCACCTGTTTAGTGATAACTTACACGTAATATCCCAGAATCCCATTTCAGGTCTTTACCTGATTCCTCTGTCATACCCATTAGCTCTTGTTGGTCAACATTGCATTGGGAGTTCCACCTGTTTAGTGATAACTTACACGTAATATCCCAGAATCCCATTCCCCAAAATTCAAGGTATTCTTTCCTGAGGCAAGAACTTCAGGTCTTTACCTGATTCCTCTGTCATACCCATTAGCTCTTGTTGGTCAAGTTTCTCCTGTGAGTGGGGCCTGCTCTTACCTTTTCTTTTCTGAGATCATTATTTCATCTTCAATAGACTGGTTTTCAGAAGAGCAATCTTTTCCCAGTTTCCTCTCTTCTCTAATGCCGTGGTTATTTTCTGTTTCCCCTACCTTTCCTGATATTGTTCTGCTTGCCTTTAGTTAGAACCATGACTTTGGAGTTCAGTTCATTTGCTCTTGCTGCTCAGTTCAGGGCAACAGAAGTAGCTCTTTTCCCGGCCCAAGAAGTTTCAGTCATTGACAGTTTCCTGAATGGCCCTGCCAATACGTACCACCCTTACCATACTGTGAAAAGGTTTCTTAGCAGCTTGGTGGCATAGTGCAGGGCATTCGGGGGCCCTTCCTTCTGTCATATACTTCTAGGATCTGTAGCAAGTGTGAAGGAGTGGGAAACCAGAACTACGCTTCCTGGTTTCTCCCATGTGCGTAGAAGTCTTGTGTCGCTTGCTTGACACCTTCTCCCCACATTCACTTTTATTTTGCAGTCCTTCCTTTCTGCTCCCAACCAACTGAGCAAACAAGCATTTCTGTATTTCTAACACAGGACCTGGAGGCAGTACTTTCTCCTCCTCTTTTCCTGTAGGATGCTCCCACCCTGTAACAAGACTGTGTTTTCTTCTACTGTAGCAGCTTTCTGCTTCTTGGGCACTACTAGCCATGGTTAAGTGCAGGTGGGGCCAGTGATGTCATGTATGTGGCACGTGCTCTGGTCTCCCTGGACCCTCAGCAGATACAACCAATGCATCCCTGTATGCTTTCCCACAGAATGTAGATGCAGCCACAGAAATCTTTGTAAGCCTCCAGCCAAGTAGGACCAGTTAATCAGAACTGATCTGATTTGTCTGCTAACAAATCATATTTATGAACTGATTCTTCTCTGTCTTTCCCCTGGGCTCTCTTGCCATGGAATAAAAACAGACATTTAGGAGGCATCATTCATAAATAACAAGGAGACTTCAATTCCTCTGCCCCCCAGATTGTGGGGGCTAAAGGAAGCTGGCTTCTTAGGCTAAATGAAGACAAATCTCTTTGTCCTCCTTTTCCATTCTCATGTTCTTTGCCAATTATTAAGGCAGCCTTCTGTTCATTTTGCAAGGTCAGATAAGAGTTTATCTTATTCTTCATCTAATCCCACCTTCTAAGAAGAAATAACACAAATACTTAAATTCCAAGGAGAAGTGCTCTTTGTGTATTTCTAACAGAAACCAGACGCTGATGCCTAAGAGGGAGGATCTATCTATGACAAAGGAAAATGGAAAATCAAGCCAGTTATCTGAATACTTCATGCCAGAAGAGTTATTGTCAACTGTTTAGCACCTTCACTAATTTAAAATGGGCTGTGCAGACAGAATCCCCTGTGCAAGACTCATCAGCCAAGCCTCCACTGCCAATTTCGAAGGCAGTTTTAGATTGCCACCTTTTGAGGTACACTTCTTTAACTGCAAGAAAAGTGGAAATGAAGGGACCTTTGCTTTGACTCCAGTGGTTTGTCCTCCTGGGGCCTCAGCAGACACAGAGCTTGTTTGTATGACCATTTGGAAGTAGTCATCAAGGTTAAGATCAAGAAAGGATTGGATTCTTTTTCCATTTTCTCATAATAGTAGCCCAGTCAACACAAGACTCCCATAAAACCTTACTCAATGTTGGGAGCTATACTATTTTATAAGCTTACTTCCTGCTGACAAAACTAGCTTTCCTCAAGGGAATAAAAAGATGGAGGGGAAAGTCACATAGTGTTAGGAAAACATTTCTGTGATTTAGATATGATGAATCTAGGATAGAAAAAAATAATGTTCTATCCTGAGACTTTTCTGAGATATCCTTCCCCCTCCTGGGCATTTGACCATTGACATTCAATAGGTCACTGACCAAGCTTTTCTAAAATTTTCAGAGATAGTTACTTATGAGTAAGATCTGTTCTCAAGCCTATCTCGTTGATTTCCATATTTTCCCATAAAGTGTTATG